ACCTGAACATACATCAATATTCTATTAATTATTAATATAAACTAGATAATTCCTCCGGTTTCATCCGGAAATGTTGTATATTTGTCAAATTCTCAATTGCAAATGTCAAAATTACAGTTACCATAATAACCTTGCTTCCTTAATGTTGACTGATTGTACTTTATGGTCCCTTTCCCACAAGAAGGTTTTCTCCAATTTATTTACCCCAAAGTTTAATAGCGTGAAAATATATATCCTAAAGCGATGTAAGTGTAGGGCTTTGTATTAAAAGAAGTATTATTCAAAAAGTATACTGTGATTGCCGAAATCCTACGCTACAAAGTACTTTGTATTTACGCTTTATCTATACTATGTAAAAAGAAAAGATTTATAATTTTGTATGTATCGAACTAACTCCAAAACTACTGGACCGATTTAAAAAATTCTTTCACCATTAGAAAGGTAATTTATCTGTGAGTAACATAGGCTATATTTTTTAATGAAACGCGGGCAAAGTCGCGAGCCACAGCGATATATTAGTATATATTTACCTCGCTATTTCATATAGTTGAAAGGCATCGTCTAGTGTTGAGGTGTTCGGTCGCGGGGAGCTGCGCGACACGCCGGTCCACGCCTGCGAATTAATTGTACCACTTGAATTCGCCAAAATGGCGAAGACTTGCCCATAGACATCCGCAATTACAGCGTTGTCTTTACACATAAAGAGGATATTTCCCTTCCTATGTCTACCGTCAAATCTACTTCCCCTTCCCATCCTCTTATAAGAAAAGAGTGGGAAAAAGAAAGGGACTAAACTAGAAAAGAGACTAGATTTAGTGAAGAATGTATGGATTGTAAGAAAGATATACATAATCTAAAAATATAAAAAAATAATAAAGTTTTCATTTTTTTACTTTTTTTCTTCTTTAGTAAAGAACACAGTAATACACTTATACATTTTGTAATTCGATTAAAAATCAGGCTTTTAAGGGTTAACAGTAGATCACACTTTGACCATTAAAAACAGGGGGTGGGGGTGTAGTAAAGGGTGTACTCACAGTGCCGACACTCCCCGAGCTGCCGGTGGAGGCGGGGGACGAAGAATTCCTACCAATCAGACCCAAATCCACCTGAAAATAACAAATAATAATAAAATGAATAATTTTAAGAAGATATTTTATAATAACAAACAGAAATTTCTACTTTATTATCGGTTTTAGCCAAAATATATCCAAAACTGGTATTACAAGTCAATTTTAATAGAAAATCTAATTATTACTAGAAACAAAATAGCTCTATCTATATTAATATAAATAAAAAAGATTTTTTTTAATAATTCAAAAACTATTAGACCAATTTTAAAAATTCTTTTACCAATAAAAAGTTACGTTATCAGTAACACAGGCTATATTTTTTTATTACTTTTAACGCGGGCAAAGTCGCGAGCAACAGCTAGTATCTATTAAATATCGTATAACATAAATTACAACGCTTTTAATCTGTCAATCAAGTCCCTTGTCTAAGAAAAAAAAGAAAATAAAGTACCCTAAAAGCGTTTCCA